GCCCCGGTCACCGGAAGCGCCCGCAGTCGTCTGCGCCGGGGTTGTATCAGGTGCGCCGCGCGGCGCCGCTCCGCACCTGCCACGGGGAACCCCGCCGCCCGGCCCGCTGCGCCCGGCTGCGTGCTCCCAGGGCGCGGCGAGGCGAGCGGAAAGGCGAGGGTGCCGGCCGGTGCCGAGGTGCGCGAGCGTGCCGGGGACGTGAGGTGGCTTTCGCGACCTCACACGCTGCGGTGGCGGTTCTTCGGTGCGTTGGGCTGGTTTCCGTTGCCGTCAGTGAGATTTGGTCCGTCTGGCAGCCGCCTTCCCAGTCTGTGACTGCTAGGGCGACCTCGTCTGCGGGCCCTCGCGAAGGTTGGGACAATGCTCCGGCGAGGTGGCGGCGGCGGCGGCGGCGGCGGCGGCAGTGCACTGTTTGTTTATACACGGCCCGGCCGTCAGTAGGGTGGGGGAGGGGGAGGCGGCTGGCCGCTCCCCAAAGTGACACTGCCGCGACGATAATCAAGCAATGGCGACAGGGTGTGAGCCAGAGCAGCGGCAGCAGGCGCCAGACCAGAAGTGGGCCAGCGCGTGGTCCGTGGCGAGAAGGAGTGCGATGGAGGCGTCGGCATAACGCCTCCTCTCATTTGCGACGCTTTAACAACTGGTGATTAATTAGCAGGCTCACTGAGAGACTGATATATTGTTGGGATGAAAGATGGTAGACTTGTGGCGATGGGTGATAGGTTCTCAAGCTACGCTCAGCCATGACAAGCAGCCGTCTGTTGGCTAAGATGAGTTTGTCGTGCTCTTCCTCACTGGCTTCACCTGACGCCGCGGGATTCAGAGTTTTACTTGTTGATAGATGATGGAAATATCACCGGGCGTATGGTTCGTTTCTGCTTATGAAGTGCTCTAGTCATCTGGATCACGCGGGTCGTTGATAATCCGCGCGGGATCATATTTGGATTCGTCTTGGCCAGCTTCTTGCTCGTCTGACCGATTCTGGACCGTTGGCGTTTGGCGCGCTATGCATATCTCCATTCAAACGACGCGCCACGGATCTCCAGTGGCATGTGACGACCGGCGGCGACCTGCCTTGATCAGTGGTCTGATCAGCCGCTTACTCAGCGATGGCCTTCCCTGGTCTCTTGTGACCCCTCTTGGTCGGCGGTGACCTGTTTCGGTCAGCGGTACCAGTGACCTGTAATCGTCAGTGGTTACCCTTGACCTGTAACCGCTAGCGGTGAACACCCCTCCGCCATCGCCCCACGCCCGTCGCGGGGCGCTCCCCCACCGTACCGACGCCCTCCCCCCCCCCCCGGCCGCCACGCCGGCCGGCGCCAGTCGGGCGGTTCCGTCACCGCATTGCATTGGCCGGGGACGCCGTCTGCTTCGGCCGGGGACGTCGGCCCCCGGCCCCGGCCCCGGCGGCCGGACCGTCTGCAACATCTCAGCGGGCGCTGGGGCCGCGCCGCCGCCTCCGCTGCCGCCGCGGTCCTGGACCTTGTTGGCCTGGCTGAGTCACCGGTGACGTATTCCGACCATCGGTCACCGGCGGTGACCTGTCCAGGTCGGTGGTCACCGGTGGTGACCTGTCTCGATCAGCGGTCACCGGTGGTGACCTGTCTCGATCAGCGGTCACCGGTGGTGACCTGCCTCGATCAGCGGTCACCGGTGGTGACCTGTCTCGATCAGCGGTCACCGGCGGTGACCTGTCTCGATCAGCGGTCACCGGCGGTGACCTGTCTCGGCCAGCGGTCACCGGCGGTGACCTGCCCCGGTCGGTGGTCACCGGCGGCGGCTGCCAACACCGCCGCTCGTGTTTCCGTGAGTCGCTCGCTCGTGATCCGTAAGAGCGCTTGAATCGGGTAATGACATTCAAGGAGCGGAGCGTATGCGGAGGTTGTCTAGATCGGTTTTCAGATGCACGTAAGGATGGGCGCACACGGGGAAGCGTGATACAGTGCGGCTTCGTGGTTATCTGAGCGTACAGTGTAAATAATAGCGCGGCTGGGCGGCGCAGGCGGCATGCCCGAGCTCACGTGGCCTTCATGGAACGCAACAACATAACCGGTACTGTGAATAGCGGAAAGGCGAATAACGGAAACCGTGACTTTACCCCGGTCGTTTCCGGACAGGATTAGATCCAGAGTCAGAAGCAGAAGTGCGCTCTCAGCAAACGGGTGCACTTAAATGCACCCTGCGTAGTTCGCGCTTAAGAAGTGAGTGGAAAGGTTGTTAACATCCAAGCTCAAAGTTAAATGGGCATCAAGTAATTAGCCGGTCGTTGGGGGTACTGCACCATATGCTACACGGGCGGGCTTGCGTTTTTTTTTTTGTCACAGCACCAGCCTGTTTCTGATCGAGCTTAGACCGTACGTGCTTTCGATGTTAAGGTCATATTTGCTGTCAGCCCTCGTATTAGGGGCAGGGCGCATATGAGAACGTCTGTAGATCAGTGCTAAATATGCACATTCGTCACGCGCCGCCAGTATGACTTGTTTCCGCTTCCACAAGCCCGTGTCGCCCGAAAGAACAATGACCTCAGTGTCGTGACCTTTGCTCGCTCTTTGTGGCCGGCATTCCAGCGAATATGCAGATGACATCCGATATAAATTTGCACGCTCGAATTTAAACCCGCGCAAGGCGTCGCGCGATGCATTGCAAACAGCTCGCCAGCGTTATGACAACTGGCTCAAATTGACAACCTGCAGAAAACCAGCCCCCCGCGCCGATCCAATTGTGGCGTGGCGTGCGGCGTTGTGCGGCGATCTCGCCGCGGCTGCGGCCGTGTGTCACCTCACATCTGGCGGTCGGGACCCGGGAGGTCCCGCCGCCTCGGTCCCGCCGCCGCCGCCGCCGTCGCCGCCACCGCGGACCCGGCGCGGGCTGGCAGCGGGCGTCGATGCGCGCCCGGGCCGTACAAAATTAGCGCCCTGTACGTGACCGCGGAATTCGTGCACCTCGGCAGCCGCCGCACCCGGCGCGGGCGCCCGCGAGAGGCGGCTGCCGGCGGCGGCGTGGCACCGCGTCTGTCAGCATTCGTGTTTCCCCAGTCCGTTTCTTTGAAGCCGCCGGCGCCTGGTCGGCTTTTGCACGAGACTCGTTGGATGCGATGCAGCGCTCGTCTGAGTGCAGCTGACGGATGGATGACGTCACGTTGGGGCCGGTGCGAGCACGACCGAATGCACGCACGAGCTCCACACGTGCCAACTGGAGTAACGCGCTGTGACGCTGTTGACCTTAGCGGTGACGTCAGGGACGTATGCAGGTTTTTGCATCGGGCGGGGTGCAACGCCTATCCCCTCACCAAAACTGATTTTAGCGCCCCGCAAGCGGCTGAAGCGTGATGTTTAACGACATCTGATGTTTCCAGTCTGCTGGTGGGTAGACTGACTGGCACTGGTAGACTGGTACTGACTGGTACTGGTACTGGTAGACTGGTAGACTGGTACCTTGATTTGTAGCTGTCGACGCCAGTTCAGACGCGTATAATGCATGTGCAAGTTTGATAAGAAGTGGGGGCCCGTGCCCCGTTCGCATCTCCCCGCTTGAACACGTTACTGGGTGACGTGCATCGATTGCGAGTCTCCCAGCCAAGCCTAACTAGCGTGCGTGACCCATCGCTGCACGCGCAGACGCCATTTGCTCTGAATACTCTCACCGCCGCATCAACCGATGGGTGTTTGCTGACGTTATCGACGCGACACGTTCTCACCATGATAAATTCGGTCTTGTCTTATCCCGGCTGTATATACTCCGCGTGAGTGGGAGCCGGGCCACGAGAGCTTCAGCCAGCACTCTGGCCATTTCGTCTGTCACCGTTGGCTACCCATCATTTCGGTTGTCAAGGACAGCCTAGAATAAACGCTCTGGAATGACTGGCTATGCGCTTTTTTCCAAGGCATCCTGGACGATTTGCGCTTCCGAGACCGTGGTTGCGCTTACGCCAACGCGGAACCAGTTGACGACATTACGACAAAACAGACCCTGGCCGTCCAAGTGACGTGTTCTTGGATACCCACAACAGCGGCTGCGATGCTGCTCTAAGAGTAACGCGATCGCAGTAAACAAACGGGTTTGGTGCGAGGTCGCTTGCTGGCTGGTGCTAAAGCAAGAATGATAGTCAATAGCATGCATCACATTTCCGTTTCCGTACATGTCCTCCACCCCCGGCATGGTTTTTACATCATATCCTGTCGTAGCTTATTGCATCCTACGATGACTCACCCTGACGCAGTTAGGTCACATATGGTGGAAGTTAACGTGTGGCTTGATTGCTTCTGTTTGAGGAGAGGTCACCTCAATTATAGGGCAGTTTCGGTTATCCATAGTTATTTCGAACTTTGGAGTATAAATATCAAGATTATTTTTAACCCCTCAAAGCTGCGGACTTTGTATCAATAAATGAAATAAAATAACATCATCATCTATGGCGACGAGTGCTGCGCCCAACATGCCTGTTTATAGGTGCCTAGATGAGCTGGCCTCGTGGCCGTCCGCCTACACAGGAATGCGACAGTGACCTAATGTTTACGGCTCGGTCGGAACCGTGGCGGACATCGCGGGGTCGGGTACACAGATTGTCGGTGTCAGGACCCGGTGGCAGGCACTTGCGACGGTTGTGCTGAGGCCCCGAACGGGGCATCGCTACCAAACTGGCAGACGCTGTGCGGTGCACGCAGTGTGCCAGGGCGCTGCGTGGAAGATTCACTTTGACTCTTCGTTCGGTGACTGCCACCTGAAAAGCACCGAGGGTAATATTTTTTTCTTAGATCGGTGGTAAGCCAGGTTGGCAGGACATGGCTGCCGGCAGAGGGCGTTTTCGTGAGTTACTGTCTTTTTCTTCTGTCCGGTTTCATCCCCGCGTTTCAGTACCAATTTATCACTATCGACGCGCGCATCCCTTATGTGCCGTATGCGGCCAGCGTATTGCAGGCCCGCGCACCTTACATGCTCGTCCCGAACAGCATCTGAACAGTGCTTCTTCATCGGCCCTCACGGTCCTCATCCCGCTGCAGGACCTGCAGACCGATGTCGAGGGCTGCAGAACGGCGGACATTCCCCCCGGCTCGGAGGATGCCCATCCGCCGAAGGAGGTCGTCCAGCTGTCGAGCCAGCTGGAGCAGGGTCAGCACCATTGGGACCAGCCTCAGGAGCGGACCAGCAGCTTCAGGTCAGTGGCTCACCGGCCGGCGGCGGGTATGATGCCGTGTCGGCCGGGACTGCTGGTGCCGTGTGGGTACGGGCGTACCCAGACGGCATTCGGGGTCATGCCGTCAGTGTGGCCTTCATAGGGTACCAAAACACGTGGTTTGGCAAATGACATGATTTGGTGGTCAGTGACGCCCTGGACCGTAAACATGAACTATCACCGCATCACGCCAACTATCACCGCATCACGCCAACTATCACCGCATCACGCCAACTATCACCGCATCACGCCAACTATCACCGCATCACGCCAACTATCACCGCATCACGCCAACTATCACCGCATCACGCCAACTATCACCGCATCACGCCAACTATCACCGCATCACGCCAACTATCACCGCATCACGCCAACTATCACCGCATCACGCCAACTACTCATCGAAACGCCGGTCTGTGGTATGCTTCGCCTCTGCTGTACTGCCGGTGAAGGACACCGCTGAAAGAAAGATGCACCGTCGTGCCGCTGAAAATATGCCGTTGAAAGAAAGATACGCCATGGCGACGCCGAAAGACACTGCAGAAGAAAGATGCCTCCTTGTGCCTCCGAAAGATATTGCCAAATGACAGCTTAAGCAAACCAGCGATGTTTCCTCCAGTCATTCTGACTGTGATCGCTGAAAGTTAATCGTGGAGCCGGTTGCACTCAATGGTGGACAGAAAAATGAACCCTCATGTGCCTGAGGGTAGAGCAGGACCGATAATCCATAATGCGAAATAGTCACGTAACAAAAATAGAACGGAGTCTGGCATTTTGTTCGGCATTTGTTAGAGGTTCGCTCACTGTGCCGGGCATATAGCATCAGCATGGGACGCTGCTTGGGGACCGACGGCCGGTCTTTACCACACGAATATTGCCATCGATGCACGGCCATTGCCGGTGTAAGAAACTGCACAAAAACGTCAAGAGGCCTCTTTGATTATATAGGTAGAGACCGAAACGGATTGCTTGTGTTATTATGCTGCGTCGAAAGCTACACAGAGCGCGTGAGCATACAATCTCAAATGAGCCAGAACTGATGTAACCGGTACACACCAGAACGGCCTTGATTCATTCACAACATCAACGTTAGTTAATACGAAGTGATCTGACCCTGACAGAGCATGTAGCGTTTCCCTCGTCAAAGACGGATGTTCAAATAACACGTAGGTTTGTACTTTTGATGTAGATTAGGGTTGTCAACTGAGACAACGTGCTGAGACCGCAAGAATATTTCCGATTTCAAGATAACACATTGAGGTCACATTGGACGGGCGGTGACACTTGTTCGCAGGCGTCATGACCCACCTGACATGATCTCATCACCTCATGCCGGTGACCAAAGGCACGATGGGGCGAAAGTGAGAAGGGAGGGGGCAAAAATAACCCGCCACCCGAAGCACCTCCAAACCATAGCCATCAACCCAACTTCACCGCAGATCCACCATCTCAGGTCATCTGAAAACGACCCGTCGGTGCCGGCCTGAGATCAGAGCCACCTCCATCCCCCCTCGGGCCGCCGCCTCGCTGACAGTGTCCCCCGGCTGTCTCGCGATCCCGGCGCGCACCTCCACACTGGTGTCGCTCGACCGTGAAGGTCACGGCGCCGGCTACTGGTACCGACGCTGCCCCTGCTTTGACTAGCGCCGCCAGCCCCGGCGTCCGGCCAGCCTGTGGAACGGGCAGCGGGGTTCAGACCCAGCTACCGGGGTGATGCAGCGGTGGGGCGTGAGCTGAGCATCAGAGGGATACAACGCTGTGGATAATTGCATTGGCGGTGGAACACAAGTGACGACCACTGGGGCACGAAGGCTACCGCCAATAGCACACAAATCCGTTTTCAGTGGGGCACTAAATCAATTACCGGTGCAACATTAGTTCTGAATGAGTCTTTGGCCGCATTCCGCTACGGCGAGGAACACAAAAAACGACCAAAAACCGGCTGCAGAAACACACCCGACTAAAAGCGCACCTAAGCATATGTAGAGTGGAGCGTAACACAATGATCACCGAAACGAGCGTTGTCAATCAGCAAAACGGAACACCGAACCTACCCGCCCCGAACCCGACCATCATCGCCCTAGGCACCTGCCGAGCGCCGGTCCGTGACCGACACATATCAGCTGTCATCGGCGGTCGTCGTGTGGTCTGGCGACCCCAGTCATGAGGTGTGTTAAACCAGCGCCCAATTAGGGCTGGCCAGGTTTTTGCCTGGACCGGCTGCTGATCTGTGTCATTTATCGCTTGTACGTGTCATCCATGGGAATAAGGTGATCTGAATTTACTGAAATTAGACCTAGCAATCAGTCAAATGTTTGACAGACATTCTGGTGTTTGAAATGGGATCCGGGTGTCTTTTGATATCCCAGTCGACGCGACCGCCGGGCAGAGAAGTGGTAACGTTTACTGCAGAAAGGGAACACCCTTATTTTCCGTGCATTACGAACCCGTTGACCTCTCTTACACGCTGTCTCTCAAGCTGGGCAGCCCGTGACCCACCCCAGCCCCACATCACGCTCTCGCTCCTATCAACACTCCACGCAGCTCGACCACTGCCAGTTCTCGCAGTGCTCGGCCAGCGGCCGGCCCCACCCCGCTGTCGGCCGGCCGTGCACGCCGCCGTCGCCGCCGGCTCCGTTGACCGGGCCGGCCGTGTACGGGTTGGGATAACGACGCACCATGAGTGGCGGGCGGCGGCCGGCGGCGGCGCCCGCGGCGTTCTGCCGGCCGGCCGGCCGACCGCCGCGCGTAATAACCATCAAGGCCGCTGCGGCCGACGCCCCGGGCCGCGTGCAACGCGCCGGGAGCGGCCCCAGTTAGCCGACGAGGGCCGCGAGTCGGCGGCGGCCCGAGATGGGCGCCGGGCACCGGCGGCAGTCAGATGTAACGAAGTCGTTAGCCTAGGAACGGTAGTCCTGGCGCGCCGGCGGTCAGAGAGCAGCTCGGCGGAGAGCGTCGGACGGGGATGAGCTCTGTGATGCGGCACTGGTCGGAGATTAAGCGTTGTGGAGTGGCCGTAGGTCGTGATAAGGCCTGGGCCATGACGGGAGTCAGAGACAGCGTGGTCAAATTTGTCCAGTTGGGCGCCACTGAGACCAATATTAATTCATGGTGTCAGACCTCTGTCTCCTCAGCGGCATGCGCCTCCATCGTGCCGTGCCTCCCTTACTGTTAATACGTTGCCCTCTGGCCCCGAATTTCACATCCTGACTTGCCCGTTCAATTCGCCTTGCCCGAATCGCACAGATGCCGGGTTGACCGCCATCTGACCCGATGCAGGCTGGTCGTTGCCCAGCGAACGGAGAAGCAACAGCCAGTGGCCCCATCGCGTGTGTGCAAAAGCATGAAAAAGATCGGTCTCCTTGGCTTTCAAATGGCTGAACTTTTCCATGCTAGTCAGAGGTGAATATAGGAGGACAGCAACGGTCAGAAATGGCAACGGGAGGCTGTTGTGGTCAGAAATGACACCTGAAAACGGAATCGGTGGAAGAATAGCACTGGATAACGACATGGGCCGGGGATGTGCGCGCATTGGAAGACGGTGGTGTTCCGAGATGAGCGTTGGGTGTGGGAGATAATCACGGGCGGCGCAGAATGTGTTTTCATAAATCTAGCAGTAGCAACTCCAAGGTCGGGCGAAATTGGCAAGGTTAAAACAATTGGCATTATAAGATTCCCGCTCCGGCAGTGCTGCTACAGCTTTAGCCTACGTATATTTTATGTGTTCAGAAAAACGGCTGCTGTCAGGAGCGACCAGATAGAAACAAATGCGTCCAACCATTGTGTGGATGTCATTGGCTTCTGTTCGCTGCCGATTATTGCCGTGGACACACATGCTGCCGTTTGCTTGCATCGATGGAGCTGGCTCGTAGTTGGATGAGATCGCGGGGGGCACAGCAAGAATCAGAGATGAGCGCAGAGAAACCCGGAGTCAAGCGCAGAGAAACTCCGAGACAGAGACGAGCGCAGAAAAACTCGGCGACGAGCGCAGAGAAACTAAGAGAGGAGAGCAGCGAAACTCAGAGACGAGCGCAGAGAAACTCGGACACGAGCGCAGAGAAATCCGGAGACGAGTGCAGAGAAATTCGGAGACGAGCGCAGAGAAACCCAGAGACGAGCGCAGATAAATTCAGAGACGAGCGCAGAGACTCACAGACGAGCGCAGCGAAACTCGGAGATGAACGCAGGGAAACTTAGAGACGAGCACAGAGAAACGTTGGGTGACGGGCGATCGCAGGATTTGACCAATGGTAAGAAATGGAATGAAAATGACAGTAATTATAGCTCAGCTGGAATGACAAATGAAGCCAAATGAGGAGCGAAAAACGACGGTACTATTTAGAGCGCACAGGAAATGACAACGGTTGCGGACAGATGTATGATGTATGCATGGGCTCCCAACCGTTTCAGCTACGGCTGGAGCTGACTCATAGTCATCCCAGACAGGTCATGCTGTCCCCCGCGGCAGGTCTTCCAGACAAGTCATGCTGTCCCCCGCAGCAGGTCTTGCAGACAAGTCATGTGTCCCCCGCAGCAGGTCTTGCAGACAAGTCATGTGTCCCCCGCGGCAGGTCTTCCAGACAAGCTATGCCGTCCCCCACAACAGATCTCGTTGCTCACCGTGTCATGTTCTGAACACCGCAAGCGCCTGGAGTGTGTTTACATAGGTTAATGCAGCTGACAAGGCTATGAGTGCAGTACCGACGCTCGTTATGAGTCCCTTGTTTTTAAGGGAAAGCCCGTCTCATGTAACTGCTGTTTTCATGAGCCACTTAGCCCTGCCCCGCGGGTTGGCGCGGTGGAGAAATTAAAGTTTACACCCTCTAGCCAGACGTGTTCAATGAGCCATGCCCTTCTGAACGTGGGAGATATCACGTGTAATAACACTCAGCTCATGGTAGACCAGGATGCACCCCAACACATCCTGGAAATGTATGTTTCATAGATCCCTGCGCTCTTCGTTTGCGGCCAATATTTATGAC